TTATTTATTCTAAATAAGAAAATCTTGAGTTGTTTTGGTAAATAATGATTATCTCTATACAGTGAGTATAGAACTAAAACAGACAGAATGGCAGCTTCCTTGGGATATTACAAAGGGAACTCATGGTTTTAACACAATTTGGATTTTAGAACCTCTATCATTCTCTATCGTGATTGTTTATTTTAATGTTATCTTACCACAAATTAGAATCATCTGAGTAGGGAACCTCATTTTAAAAACTGCCTCAATTCTCTAATGTGGGAAAACCAAGTGTGAGTGGCACCTTTAGCAGCAAAGATGAAAAGGGCATGGCAGAAGGAAGGAAGGTAGGTTATTCCTCCAGTTTTGCTCACTTGACCGTCTCCTGCTGACACTTTCATTACCCTATTGTTGCTGCTAATTCCTTTGCAGGTATCAGAGCCAGTTTGTGGGTTCCCATCATTGACAGAGAACCACCAACTGACTCTTCAGGAACCTTCCGGGTTTTCAGATCCAGCTCCTCCTGGGTTGTTAGCCTCTCAGGTGTGAAAGCCTCAAGACTGAGCCACCACTGTATGTATCCACCTTATTGGTTCTGTCCCTTTAGAGAACCCTGACTAATGCATCTATCTTGACAGTTGGCTATGGAGACTCTGTTTTCTTATTCCCCATAAAGCATGTGCTTTCAGTTCTACTTAATTAGCATTCCAAGCACTTTAGTTCTACATTCTATGCAAAGATACATTTATTATACACTGTGATATTTAAGAAAGCAATGTAATGAATTCCCATGTGATATATTAATATGTTTACTGCTAGGCAGTGAAATTTAGTACTTATGTGAGAAAATGGTCAGTTAGGCACACCAAAATCCTATATTGTCCTATTAGATATACTTTGTCTTATTTATATACTATGGATGCTAACTAAATCTATCTTTTCACACATCTTGAGAAATGAATAAAGTCTTCCTTTCTTTTCTTTCTTGTGAAACTGTAACTAAAATACTGGTTCCATCTGTCTAAAGACACAGGAAGTGAAGGAAGAATACAGTCAATAAAATGAAAACTATTATTGGCAGTTTGGCAGGTGTCAAATACAAAATTGTTTTTGGATAACAATGGTAAGAAATGATTTATATTGTGTTGTAAGGCAGAATACTCTGCTGCCAACAAAATAAAACTTATAATTTTTAAACTGCTTCATATACTTGGGGCATATAATACATTATAAATAAAATATACTAAGTAGTACTTGGTTTTAAATTAGTATTTGGGTGTTATCTAAAGTTGAAAAACATGTATGCTTTAAAACAATATAATAGCTTTTTGTGTGTGGGGTGTGTGTGTGTGTGTGTGTGTGTGTGTGTGTGTGTGTGTGTGTGTGTGAGGTTCAGGGGACAACTTCATGGAGCCAGCTCTCTCCTTCCATCTTTGACATGGCCTCAACAGTCGCACCTCAGCTCACCAGGCTTATGCAGCAAGCATCTTTACCTTTAAGAGCTTTTTTTTCTTCAGAGAAAGAAAAGTGTAACCTCATTTTCTATGTGTACAAATCAGACAGCACTAAAGAAGCAGTCCACTTGAGCTGGTTCCTCCCTAAAAGCCATGGGATGTGAATTCCATTAGCATACTCTGAAGAAGAATTTATCCTTCAGTGTCCTTAGCCAGAAGTATCTGCTCTACTACATTTTTGTTTTTTAAAAATAAATCCCTAACTACTGATTCCTTCAGTTATGTTGGGAGTGGGTCATCCCCTGATACTATTATGGGAAGTTAAAGGAAGTCTCTGGGATTGTGTTGTGCATAGGATGACTCTATCATCTCTTTCAAGGTAATTCTGTTGAGGCCTTCCCCTCAGAGCTGTAATCATCTGTATATGCAAATGTAAAATTATAGCTTTAGATTATATTCACAAGGTAGAGAACATCACCAAACACAAGCAGAACCCCGACAAGAAGCACTAAGGACCTAATATTATAGGACAGTTTATTTTTTTCTGCTCTCCCCTTTGAAAATAACATCAAATGTATATACATATACATTCAGAAAGAATGGTAAAAGCAAGGAAGGCACCATCGGGCAGAATTTGAGATCATTGTAGGCCCCAAGCAGGAAGCCATGTGGGGGACTGGGCAGGAGAGGGCCATGAGCCACTCTGAAGGGAGAGCAGGACAGTGGGACCAGGGGCTGGATAGTGTCCTGAGCAGGGAGCAGATGACACAGGCTGCTGCTGCAGCTGCTCTAATGTCGCCTCTGCCTCAGCTAGGGGCACAGGTGTTGAGAAATGAAGGGGGGTAAGTACTTTCCTTTTCTAACAAAGTGGAACATAATCTTCACAAAGCTCATTTTGTTCTCATAAGGTCGTTATTCTTAAGATGCAAAATGCTAACCAGGAGGAGGGCACAGGAACCAACTCCACCCCTTTGTATTTTCAGGGTCCATAATACATCTGAAAGTAGTTTTCAGCTCCTTGAGGACACAGAGCATTTATGATTAGAAAAGAAAAAAAAATGTTTGTTTTTTTTTTTAATGTCAGGAAAAAAAGACGTACAAAGGGAGGAAGAGAGTTAAAGGCACATGCATAGTTACTGAGCTGCTTTACAGGCTAAAAACAGGCTCATAAAGGTTTAGATATTTTCCTAAAATCAAATAAGAGAGACAGAATTCAGTATTCTGTCTACCACCAGCTAACACAGGAAGATGGGAGATTTTCTGTCCCAGAATTCTATAAAGTTTGTCTTTCTTATAGTGCATATACTGCAGACAGAGAATGCATACTTCATTCTAAAGTTTAAGCCATTTTCAGGCTGTGTGCCTTCATAGGGCAGAGGCACTCTGCTGAAAACACCACCAGTCGGCCACTTAGAACCATTTCAGCTTGTTCTATGGCCTGGGCCAGTCCTGCATGAAGGGACTACAAGCTGCCTAACCTTCTAATTCAATCAGGCATACACAGTACAACTCTGAATGGAGAAGAAGGAAGAGTTGCAGTAGACCACAGAATATTTTGTAGTCTGAGCAGGCTTAAGAGAAGCAAGCATTGGGGCTGGGAAAGATGGCTCAGCAGTTAAGAGCTGGGTTCAATTTCCAGCACCCACATGGCAGTTCACAGCTGTCTTTCTGTAACCTCAGTTTCAGGGCACATGAGACCCTCACAAGGACATAATGCAGGCAAAATACCAATGCTCATAAAATAAAATTTTAAAAAAGGAAAGCAAGCATTCTACTACTGAAACATTAATCTACAGAACTGGGATAATTTCACTGAGCAATTAAGCTAACAATAATAATGCTAGCCTTCAGAAGTGCATCCTGTTAGTTCCTCAGATTTGTTCTTTTCCAGAAGTTTTATCTCCTCATTGTTCCTACATTCTTCCTTCATTTCTGTTTCTTGTCTTAGCTATTACTAAAATACCTTCACGCTTCCCCATCCAGCAAAGCCTATCTCAAAATAAATGGGGATATGCATATTATCTACCTCAACTATAATTCATTATCTACATGTATGACATCATCAAAGAATAAGTAAAATTTAAACATGCCCAAGATTGGGCTAGTTAACATTTTATCACAGATAGTGGGAGGCTCATCAGGCCCCATGCCTCCCTGAGGGACTACTGGGAGTTTATGGCTGCTGGGGAGTGGGAGATGGGGGCTGGCACTTTCTTTAGTGGCATAGCTCCTGATAAGCTGCATGTGCTACAATAAATAACTGCCCACCCATGCTCATGGACAATCCTATTAAATTCAATGGGTCTCTCTCAGATACACAAAAGACATCAAAGTAGGAGGGAGATTTGGAAACAAGAAAGATTTCAGAGCAGCAGGAATGAGAAGGTAATGGGGTGGTGAACATGATTAAAATGTATATATACATGAATGAAACTATCAAAGAACTAAAATTTTTAAAAGTAATTACTTTCTGTTTTTGAGACAGGATCTCACTATGTAGCACTAGTTGGTCTGGTATTAGCTATGTATGTAGAGCAATTCACCGCCTATGCCTCCTGAGTGCTGAGACTACAGGGGTGTACCACCACACCTGGCAAAGGAAATAATTTTTAAAAGATGTATTCATTTTATTTTACATGTATTGAGTGAACTGCCTACATACCTGGTACCTGCAGAGGGTGTCAGATTTCCTGGAACTGAAGTAACTTTATGGATGGTTGTAAACCACCAAGTAGGGGCTGAGAGTCAAACTTGAATCCTTTGCAAGAGCAACAAGTGCTCTTAAAAGCAGAGCCAAGTCTCCAGCTGAAGAATTCAATTTTAAAAAGAGAATAGTGTAGATAACACTATCTATTTCTTACAGATGAAATAAACATGGAGTGTTTGAAGTGTATCTCATATACAGTGAACACTCTTAGTTCCTCTTTTGTACATGGTGTCACATCCTTTGTGCACATATGCATCATTACAGGCTGAATTGTGCTCTGTCTCAATCTGTGCTGAACCCTAACTACTTTAGAATATACCTTTGTTTACATTTAAAGAGGTTGGGGTACCCCAAAACATTGATAATATATAGACACAGGGCAAACAGCCCCCTGAGGGTACCACAAGAAAGCAGCCATTAGGCTGGAAGTGGTAGCACTGCCCTAGAACCAAAACACCTGGAAGGAAGGAACAGAAAGATTACAAGTTATAGGCCATCTAGGCTACAAAGGAACCATTTCAGAAAAAAAAAAATCAAACATAAACTACAAGCAACTGCCACCATATATTTCTTATATTTGTGGAAAGTGCAAGACTGTGGTGCTGGCAGATTTGGTATCTGCTGAGAACTGTTTCCTTACAGGTGGCACCATCTTACTGTGTCCTCATGGGGTACAAGATGAGGTGTCTCTCTGTGCTTTTATAAAGAGACAGTTTCCTTCATGAGGACATCTTGCCTATTTCTTACTATCGTCATCACCTTGGGGCTAGTCTAGCTCCATATTAATCCTGGGACATTAACATTCTGGGCACAGCAGTGGCTGTCTGTAAGCAAAGAGAGCTGTAAGAAACCAAACTTACCTATCAGCATTCTCATCTTAAATTTCCAGCCTCCAGAACTGTTACAATTTAATCTTCTGGGGCTGGGAATATAGCTCAGTTGGTAACATGCCTTCGTGGAGAAGGGGTGGGGGCAAACCATACACAAATGTGGGTAGTTTGCATATCTCATCCCAGCATTTATCAGGTGGTGGCAGGCGTATCAGGAATTCAAGGTCAGCTATATAGTGACTTCTAGACCGAGCTGGACTATGAGATGCTGTTCCAAACAAACAAACAAACAAAACAAAAACAAAGATTTTTCTGTTTCTAAAGCCACTTACTTAATCTATAATACTTTAATATTGATATAACAAACAGTGAATATAATTGAGATTAATGGTTTGCCATTAAATTTGGTAGAATATCTGGATGAGGTTTTCACTTTTACAAGGTTAAAATCATTAGTGGTTAAGAACACTGTGTTGAGTCTGGTTTAGTCACTTCTCAGTTAGGAAACTGTAAGTAGGTAAAGACTAAAGCTATATACAACAAAGGTGTAGGACCCAGTACTATGTCTTTCAGGACTAAGTGAGAAAATAATCAAGGAGAGATTATGTAACAACACTTTTCTCAGCATCTAGTATTTTATATCCCTGTCCAAACCAGCAAACGTACTGTCCTGGTGGTTATGTGTCAAATTGACACAAGCTAGTCATCAGAGAGGAAGGGGCCTCAGTTGAGGAAATGCCTCCATATAGTCCAGCTGTAAAGCATTTCTCAATTAGTGATTAATGGGGGTGGCCCCGTCCACTAGGCATGGGGCCATTCCTGGGCTGCTGGTCCTGGGTTCTATAAGAAGGCAGTCTGAGCAAGTCAAGGGAAGCAAGTCAGTAAGCAGCTCTCTTTCATGGCCTCTGCATCAACTCCTGCCTTCAGGCTCCTGTCCTGACTTCCTTTGATGATAAACAGTGATATGGAAGTGATAGCCAAATAAACCCTTTCCTCTCCAACTTGCTTTTGTTCATGGTGTTTCATTGCAACGACAGAAGCCCTAACTAGACAAGTGCTGACATAGAAATTAAGTGAATTTGTACTTACAAAGAGTGAACATTAGATTATACATTGGGACTGTAGGTCTAGTTCAGTGGTTCTCAACCTGTGGATTATGACCCCCTTGCAGGTGGAATGACCTTTTCACAGGGGTCACCTAAGGCCACCTAAGGAAAACACAGACATTTATATTATTTGTAACAGTAGCAAAATTACAGTTATGACGTGGCAACGAAAATAATTTTATGGTTGGGGGTCACCACAACATGAGGAACTGTATTAAAGGGCCCTGGCATAAGGAAGGTTGAGAAACACTGCTCTATCTGATTCTAAGTTATTCTGTCTCCTCTCTATATTACCTTTCCCACAAAACCCATAGATTCTAATGTATTGACACAGTACTTGCCCAATTCTTGCTTTCTGATACATATATTTTATGGCTGAGGGGTCACATGGACTAGGGCATTAAATATCATTTTGAAAGCATCTTCTCACATATGAAAGAAAAACACAAAGGAAAAATAAAACAGGTCAAAGAATAAGCAGAGGAAACTCTATCTTTAATGAGTCTATGGCCCTGCAATGCAGACAGCCATGGTCTAATGGCCTCCTAAGAATGCAGCACAAGTGATTTACATTCTCATATTGCAGTGTCCTGATCTGAACCAAAAAGTTCCAGTTGCTAAAGGGATATAACTTGTACAGCACTGGACGAACTCTGCTACCTAATTTTAGCGCATAACTCCCCCCTGCAGTATTTAAGCCCAGTTAAATAAGCAAAGCATGTTTTCAATTGCTAAAGGGTAGCTAGTTCTCATATCATGCGATAAGTCTCCCACACCCTAACTCAGGAATCACATCACAGTTGTGACGGTATTTAAAGATAGCCCATCAAGACATTTGTTTTCACTGTTTTCTTTAGTAAAACAATGAAGTAGCCATTTCTTCAGACTTGTGCTCTGTATTAAATCGCCTTCCAGAAGATGCTTTTTTTTTTTTTTTTTCCTGTTTTGGTTTTTCGAGACAGGGTTTCTCTGTAGTTTTGAAGCCTATCCTGGCACTCGTTCTGTAGACCAGGATGGCCTCAAACTCACAGAGATCCGGCTGTCTCTGTCTCCCAAGTGCTGGGATTAAAGGTGTGCACAACCAACACCCCACAATGCTTAATTTTTTATGTAAGCAATTAATTTACATATTTATTTTAGTTTTGCCAAGAGACTACTAGTCTTAAGAGGACAGTGCCAGTTTTGAAATGACTCAGTGAAAATGGCCACATGCACATTTTTACACTTCAACTAAAACCGGAAGTCCATACCTGAGTGAGTGATGGGTGTGTTTTTCTAAGTAAAGCTAAGGTGGTTGGTGAGAATTACTTTGCTCTAGCAGTTGTTTTTGCTATTTCACTAGTTTTGTACTGCAACAGGAACTTATTTTGCATGGTATTTATATATTTGGGTTTTAAATATAGAAAGTTGTATAGTTAATCACTCCAGAAATATTTAAAATACTTCTGTAAATCACAAAACTAGTCTGCAAACAGTTAACAGAATAAAAAGTCTGAAATCAATAAAATAAAAAGTCTGAAAGTTGTTTTATTTTTTCCTATTTAAATGAAATATGTACAGAATACAGTTTGAGACAGAAAAGGAGAAAGGCTTTTCTTCTTTTTGCCAAGCTCAGGCACAATTACTTTCTGGGAATGTTCTCACTTTATCACAAATTTACCAACAATCCAAATATTCTTCCAGAACAGATTAAGGACTTCAAAAAGATAATTCTCCTCAGCACAGAGGTTGGAAAACCCTAGCTTCCCATCGACTCAGCTCCTCTCTCCATGAAGGGCTGAGAAAAAGAGACCAGTCACAATAGAGGTAGGACAGATGTTAAGTCTATTTCTCTCTGTTCTAGTCAAATACCCAGTTGTAGTGACCTTAAAGAGAAAATGGAAACACTATATGAAAAGTACATTTTACCTAAATTTCTAGTACCTGGGAGGGATGTTTGTTTGGTTTTAGAGAAAGTTACTAAATTACAGTATTTCTCTAGCAATATATATAAAAATAATCAGAGTTCTCCATCAAGGTGGCGAAGTGAATTCATGCTTCAGTTGATCCTGTGTCTTAGAAAAATAACACTTAATTGGGGTGGCTCACTCACAGTTGCAGAGGTTCAGTTCATTGACATCATGGTAGAGAGCATGGCAACATGCAGGCCAACATGGTGTTGGAGTAGTAGCTCAGAGTCCTAGATTTTGCCGGCAACAGGAAATGGCCTGAGACACGGGTGGTATCCAGAACACAGGAAACCTCAAAGCCTGCCCCTACAGTGACACATTTCCTCCAACAAAGCCATAACCACTCCAACAAAGCCACACCCCCTCATAGTGCCACTCTATTTGAGCTTACGGGGGGGGGGACAATTACGTTCAAATTACCATATCCTATATGCTGTAAACACGTGATAATTACAGATAAGGAAATCCAAGATCCATTTTCTCATAAAAAAATTTTGTGGACTAGCAACACAACAAATATACTAAGTAGTCAGCTGGATTAAACTGCACACTACCCATACTGTGGTCTTGAAGCAGCTAGTGATAATTGAAATTTGTTTTTATGGAACTACAACTTCCTACCCAAGATGCAGTACAAAACCAGCTTTGTTACTAGAAGCCGGAAACTGAAACATAACTAACTTGACCAACTATCCTGGGTTTCCCAAGACACCCCAGGTCTCCCTGCTACCTCCCCCAACAAAGATCCTTTTAAAGAAAAAATGGTGTTTGGGCATGGTGGTTCTTGCCTGTAATTCCTGTTTGGAAGTCTGAAACAGGAACATTGAGTTCATGGCCAGTCATCTCTGCACTTCTATGTCCTATTTCATAAAAGTCTAAGCCAAGAGTGGTGGTGCATGCCTTTAATCCCAGCACTTGGGAGGCAGAGGCAGGCTGTCTCTGTGAGTTTGAGGCTAGCCTAGTCTACATAGTAAGTTCCCAGCTAGTCAGGGCAACACAGTGAGACCCTGTCTCAAAGATTATATCTTTGAGATCTCTCTCTCTCTCTCTCTCTCTCTCTCTCTCTCTCTCTCTCTCTCTCTCTCTCTCTCTCCCCCCCCCCCCCTCTCCCCCTCCTCCTCTCTCCTATCTATAGAAAATACATCACTAAATAAGCATCTTATCAAACATTTAACTAAACTGATCCATGTTGAGAGATTGGAATCAGAAGCATATTATAAACTGGCACGCTCACAAATAGAGAACAGACTTAAACAATGCATAAGACAACTATTTTGTGGTATTTTAAATTATTGTTGAAGTGTTAAGGTAAGATCTAGCATTGCATTGAAGACTTTTAAAGACTTTTAAAAAACATTTTAAACACAAACATGATATTTGTGCATTCAAAAAATACATGTTAGTAAAAGATCATCATCAGGCAGGTAAGACTACCATAAGTTTGTGCAAACATAACTTACTGGGTAAAGCTCACTGCCACCTTTATTTATTTTTTTAAATGATCAAATTCTTTTTTGTTTTTTATTTTAATTAGAAAGAATATTATTTTACATGTTAATCCCTGGTCTCTCTCCCTCCCTTCCTCCCCTCCCCGCCCCAACTAACACCCTTCCTATCCCATACCCTTTCTGCTCCCCAGGGAGGGTGAAGCCTTCCATAGGGGGGGGGGCGGTCTTCAGAGTCTGTTGTATCCTTTGGGATAGGGCCTGGGTCCACCCCCTTGTGTCTAGGCTCAGGGAGTATCCCTCCATGTGGGGCTCCTAGAGTCCATTCCTATGCTAGGGATAAGTACAAGGGGCCCCATAGATTTCTGAGGTCTCCTCACTGACACCCACATTCAGG